TGAGCCTGGTGTAAAGAATGGTTCACAGTCTCTTCCTCACAGTGAGAATTATTTCTCACTGTGATTATTGATCAGTACTCTACATCAGCATTTGAAAAAGTTGGACCAGTGCATCATGAGCCAACTTGACTACCAATAAAGGTGTGAGTCAATCCAGTTGTCCCATATTTTTGTATTGTTTCAGTGTAAGATATATATTCATTGTGGTATTATTTAGAAAAGCAGCATGTCGGATAGCATTGTTTTTTAAAAATGAACTTTAATTAAAATAAAATGCCATTAAAGTTCATATTTAATAGTTCTTATGTCAATTTTCATCAAACCAAATAAGACATTCTTACATTTTTTAGTACTCTTAAGGCTTTACTGAGGGTTCTCATCAGTGTTGGTGTGTTATTTGTGGTAGATGGCAGTGGGTCACGCCCCCAAGCAGACAGCATAACATTTTCACTATTTTCAGTGCTGGCAGCTCTTTCCAACAAGGAACTGAAGTCACTGCTAAACCACAAGACTATTGACAAAAATGTGTGTTTTACCTCACCTGACACAGGAGCTGTTTCGTCCACTCCTTCCTAAACAAGTTAATTATTTTGTCTTAATGTGTAACTTCTGTGTTTTAATAGTTAAGTTTGAATAAAAGATAAAGTTATGAAATACGAAGTCCACACAAAAACAGACCAACAAACTGTTATCTGTGATAAAAAGCATTGTTTTGTCAGCTTTCTTTCTTCACAGCGGCTCAACTTTGTCACCTGTTGCCACTTATGACATTATAAGTAAAAATGTACCTTTAAAGTTTGAGTTAGTGTTCAGATGAATCACCACCACATCATGTCACCATTAATAATACTGTCTAATCTTATCTCGATAATCCACTCATATGTTTCAAAAACTAAACATCATCCAGCCATACTCTGTACTAAACCAATGTAAACACTGACAGTAATACTCTCTGATTCAGTAAAAAATGATAGAAAAATACCATAAATAGCCCAACTCTGTGTGAAAACACGTGCAAGCTTTGCCACAGATGAATGAAAAGGTTAAACAAATGTGTATGTAAACCTGCTGCAGTACACACATGAATCCAGCTTCATAAATATCGAGCCGTACACGAAGTTTGAACTGAATAAATGAGTTTGCCTCCTCTGCTGTTTTCAGATGGACCTCATGCCTTTTGTGAACAAAGCCGGTTGCGAGTGCCTCAACGAGAGCGACGACTGCGGCTTCGACAACTGTTTGATCAAAGACTCGTCCTACCTGGAGTCTGACTGCGATGAACAGGTTCGATTTTTCGCTTCATGCGGGAAGTTTAAACATTACAAGTTTAAAGTTCTCACAAAATCAGTACCTCGCTCAGCCTGGATGTTATTTCCTCAAAGAAGCTGGTTTCACATTGAGAATGTCTAATAGATGAGTTGTCTCTTAAAAACATGTTTAATTTGTTTGGACCTCTTAAAATGTGACGATACATTTTCAGGGGTTTATCCTCATATGAAATATCTGGGTAATCATGATACTTTTAAAGTGGTGCTCCTGATAATTGTTTTTTCTTATTCTTTCTAATATTTGTCTCCTGAATACTCAAGAGAGAAATTTTTAGCATATGGTTTTAATGACCCTGAATTTAGATTTTTTCTCTCTTTATGTGACACTTTTAAGCAGGAATGTAAACTAGCTAAAACATATTGTGCGTTTAAAAAATGAAACAAAAATATACAACAAATATCTTCATTTCAGACAACATAACCAGCATGAGAGGCTTTGCTGATTATATTTATTGATTTAACAAATCCCTGAAACTCTCAGGTTTGTTCAGGAAACTGAAACAAAGCTAAAACTAACTGAAACCCTTAGTCTGCTCTCATTCTGTTTACCTCCTTAATAAACTTTGTTATATGTGGAGCATCAACCTGATGGACGTTTTCCTTTTTAAATCTTGTCCAGTTGTTGATAACGATCGCCTTCAATCAGCCTGTGAAGCTCTTCTCTATGAAACTACTGTCCTCAGACTTTGGTGAGTGTTTCTCCTGCTGACATTAATCACAGCCTCTGGAGTATCTGGAGGCGCTGATATGAACTTTGTCAGTTTCCGAGTGGTAAAAAAAAAAATCATCATCTTCTTTCTGTGTCTCATTTTTTCTTTATTTTTCACTCTCTGTCAGCCCAAGCCCCTAAGGTGGTGAAGGTGTTTATCAATCTCCCTCGGTCGATGGGGTTCGACGACGCAGAGCGGAGCGAAGCCACTCAGACTCTGGAGCTGTCTGAGGAAGATTACAAAGAAGACGGTTTGATTCCTCTGCGCTACGTCAAGTTTCAGAACGTACAGAGCGTTACAGTAAGGACCCGACTACCAACAGTACCTCTGAAACATTACTGCGGTTAGATCTTAATGCATTAGAAATGTATTTTAAGAAGGTTGTTAATGAGCAGCAGAAGAGGCCGTGATGCAAATGGCAAAAATGCTCAAGTATATACAATAGAAGTAAATCCTGTAGCTGGGGGGGAAAAGCTTTTAGAGGTTTATTTGTGGGATGGTCACCAAAATTGTGAGTTATAGGAAAAAGACTTCCCTCTTGGAGGAATTTGGAGAAGTAGCTTGGGAAGGGTCGCCCTATGGACACATTGCACGCTGGCAGAATCAACGAACAGTTAAAGAAAAACATTTTTTGTGTGTTTTTGTTAAATGCATTTTCTTGTTTTTTTTCCCCTTCAGTTGTTCATTAAGTCAAACCAAGGAGACGAGGAGACGACAAAAATCAACTACCTGACATTCATAGGCACTCCGGTGCAGGCCACTAACATGAACGATTTCAAAAGGGTGAGGAGCAGCTGCAGCAGCCTGTGCTCATTTGTGTAGAGCAGTGTTTGACACTCACCCATGTTTTGTCCCCACACAGGTCGTAGGGAAGAAAGGCGAGAGTCACTGAGCAGGAGAACGAAGGGGAGGATGAGGAGGAGGCTGAAGATGCATCCAAGGACTTTCCCCCTCTCTGCCAAAGCTGTCACACACATGATGCTCACATACAAACACACACAAACACACAGGGCCTCCAACTGTCCTCCTCGAGCTCTGAATGAATGCTCCACCTGTGGAGTCTATAAATCATTTGTATTTTAATTCTGATGGAACCTCTGTAAATAAAACACGATCCTTTTTCAAAGGCACGTGCGTCAGTCTTGATTTCTTTTAGTAGTAGCACCACGAAGACATGGCTGCTGGAAGGTTATACTATTATTCACTATTATTGAGTCAGAACAAATGGTATTGGTTTACTGATGCATGACAAGCTGCAACCTGAAAAATGGAAAACAAAATGTGCTTTCAGTTTTATCACCACTCAAACTATTCCTCTCACAGGTATCAGCCATGACCTGAAAATCCACTTGCTCTTTCCTCTCGGTGGTAAAGTTTCTTGCACTCCGTGTTTCTGAGAGGTTAAATGTCAGCGCTAACTATTTGTTTGGATCAGAACAAATTCTGATGTTCAATATGTTTGGGTGTTTCTCCTGAAGGACCCGGTGATTATTCCCTGTGGACACAACTACTGTATGAACTGTATTAAAAGCTACTGGGATGAAAAGGATCAGACTGAAACCTACAGGTGTCCTCAGTGCAGACAGACAGATCGTATTAAGTATGAAGAGTTGGACAGCACCAGAGCCAGACATGATTCACACCTACTGGCTGAAGAAGCTAACTGCACATGGCAGCACAAATGAACCAGTTGCTGATCATCTGCTAGAAATTGATTTCTGATGTTTCCTTGTGTTTTTATATGTAATTTTTTTACTTATTTTGGTTTGTTGCTTCAAGGCAACACTGTGTGACAAGGGTAGTCAAACAAGTTATTCTATAATATGTTTTATTAGTACAACAAGGATGAACAAATAAACAATGTAAACATTTCACAGAACAATAAAACACCAAAGTACATCCAACATTTGACCCTAACCCCATCCATGCACACACACACACACACACACACACACACACACGATGTGTTTCCATCACTTTTGGGGACATTACATTAACTTACATTCATTTCCTGGAGACTTATTCTACCCATCACAAGTCCCTGCCTGAACCTAACCCTGACTCAAGCCTTCACCCTAAAATGTAATGATTTACCTTGCAGTTTGTCCCCATAAAGTAAGCGAGACCTCACAATGTGAGTGTGTAAACAGATTTGTGTCCCCACAACGATAAGTAATACACGTCACACACACACAATTACTTTACCAACTGACCCCTGACTGCCTAAGTGTCCCTCAAAAAAAAAAGTAAAGTAAAAGTAAAAAACATTGACTATGATCATATAAATGCACACAAACACATCTCTACACACATATGCTAATGCATTATATTGCCTGAAAAAAAGTTAGGCTAACTACACAGTGTTGCCTTGAGGCAACAAGTGAAAATTAACAGTTTTACTGTATAAATAAATTTCAAAAAGTAGAACAAACAATCAAATATACTTCTTAACATATTAATGCACAAAGTATTTTATATACATTTATTTCACTATAAACATGTAAAATAGTGATCTTTATCTTACCTCCTAATGGAGATGTCTCATCTTGCAGAAAGCCCCCCCAACTTAAAGTCACCACCTTCAACTCATCATTTTATTGGAAAGAGATGTGCCTCGTAGCATTATTTGAAGAAAAAAAAGTTTGTTTATTTTGTAGGGCCAGTGTGAGGCATGGAAATGTGGTTTGTTGCCTCAGGGCGACGCTAGCAGTATTGGGATAGTTCATGACAACACGACTCGGTGCCCACACACGGATACTGGAATGACTGGACACTAGGGGCTCGAGCCCTTAACAGGAACTCAGTGGGAATGTGGCGAACATCACTAAAAGATGCATTTTCACAAAAACTGTATTTTCATAGCTTTTATAACCGCGTACTGCAGCTGTTATGTCACCTAGCTATGTTACACAAAGCAATGAGCTGTCATTTCCAGGACTACGCATTTGTTACGTAGCTGCTTCTGGTAACTGGCGTGAGACACTAACTTCCCCGTGGTGCTCGGTTATAAAAGGGGACTCAAAAGGACCGATTATAAACCTGCAGCTTTTTCTAGAACTGCTCCCTGCCAAACATTTAGTGTGGTGAGTAAGAGCGGCTCTGTTCAGCAGAGCTACAGTGGGCTAGAGACAGACAGAGGGGTAGACTCAAACATCACATCGATTTACCATCTATTCATTCTTAAAAAAGCTCTTAAGTTCATTTATATCTTTTAATTTATATTCAAATCCTATTACAAATCTGTTCTCAACTAATGCTAATGCCAGGAAGTGTTCTTTTAAACAGATTTATATTTAGAAGTTTGCAGTTGTTTACTTTTTGTTTTCGCTGTTTAATGTAATTACTAATATGTGCGGAGCCCACTGTTTTGTTACTGTTTCCTCCGACGTGCTGATGGAAATACTGTTCAGGTTAGGCAGATTGTGAATGATGTGAGCAGATGCGCAACCTTGCACCATGCCTCTGAAGCGTATTAGAACAAAATCAATAAACGTTATTTGTTTGTATGATGGGATGTAAATATGAGGGGGGAAACTCGCTATTTTCAACCAGTTCAACGGACACTATGTGTCACACTATGTATCTAAAAATGTTGTTGAACAACTTTTAAACTTCAATTAAGTTGTGAAACGTGCTCAACAGACTGCATTAAATAAGCTGTATTATGTTCACGGTCTGCCTGAAGAGGACGCCATTACACTGCAAGTTCTTATATATGTAATTATATATTATACTACGATGCAGTTACTTTAGTTTAACTTATCGATAACATTTACATGAATATATAACTCAAGGTTTACCTGTGTTTAAACGTGAGCACAACACATTTGCATTTCTTCTTCTCCTTTTCCCCTCTAAGGCTGTGGGCGTTTACGTGGAGCACGTGAAGGCGTCACGTTCGGGTCCGTTTAGCTCCGTCCGCTGCTCCCTGACAGTTGAAGAGGACACACCGAGGCACGAAGCAGCGAGAAAGACAAAATGAAGGACGTCAATATTCTGCGGATTCTCGTCATAATCCTGTGTGCGGTGGTTTTTGTTGCCGTTTTAGTCTTTAACGCTTTGGCCGGAGCGGGCAAAGGTAGGTGAAATATCGCTGTTCAAGAAGTGAGTTTCACAGAGCTCGAAAAAGATTAAAAACATAACTGCAAGACTGTTAAAACTGCACACGGTGGTACATTCTCGGTGTTTTATTTCTGGTTTTAGTTTTCTGCCTTCACAAAAGCTGTATTTTCAGAAGTTTTGTTAACTGTTTACTGCAGCTGTTATGTCACCAAAGCATGTTACACCAACCAGTCAGCCGTCATTTCCAGGACTGCGCATTTACATAGCTGGTACTGCTAACTGGCAGGAGTAACAATAACAGCTCACAAACTTTCCAGAGTTTGTTATAGTTATGAGAGGGGGCTCAAATTAACCAGTTATTAGTACGAAGTTTATATTATTTTTATCCTAATAAATAGTCTAAGTAAAGTGTAGGAATAGTGACTGTGGTATCCCTCCGCCCACTGGTTCTGCTGGACTGGAAAGATCCAACAGTGATTTATTTATTTTTATATATATATTCAGGGTGTGGCCGAGAAAATGCTCCGCTGGGCTCCCACATGGATAAGACTCATTTCCTTCCTCAGTGAGCTGGCAAATAGTAACAGTGTATTCACTTTTTTTTCTATTTTAATCACAGTTTTTACTGTGATCAATTTGTTTTATGTAATGATAGATATTAAGTCATTATTTTAGAGATCTTTTAGGAGCAGCAGGCACTGTGATTCATGTAAAAAGTGTAAGAGCTACTCTGCAGCAGAGAAATGGTGAGCTTGAGACAAAGAGGTAGTCTAAAACGCACACGTTAAATTTAAGCCTGCCTTCTAAAATAGAAGTGCATTACATTAATGGAAACGAAAAGAAGTCCTTATAATTAGGACACATTGATGTTTATACCTACGAGAGGTGATCCTGCATAGGTCACCAGTCCGTCACAGAGAAACGATCGTCCACATTCATGTTGACACCCACAGCCTTGCCTCTTACAGTCACGTCTTTGGACCGTGGGAGGAAAGTGGAGCACCCAGAAGTCACAGTGTTTAGGACAGATTTAGATTTTTTTATGGCAGGAGGTTGTTATGTGTGCACGCATCAAAAGGAGGAACACACGCTTTGTTATATGAATTGAATGCATATGTGTTTGCCAAGCCTTTTTGTGACTGACGCATAACTGAACATAATAATCAGCTGCTCCTGAAGTGAATCTCCTCCATCTTGGACTGCAGCAGGCCTCTTGTACTCCTTGTTCTGCTCTCGAGCCTCACTGTGGCAGCAGCTCTGCATCTGCTTTAAGTTAAGACCAAGACTTAGGAAGTTGTATAAACCTGAACATTGTCTCCCTGTTAACCTAAGATCTTTTCCTGTGAGGTACTTTTTAAAAAGTAGGAGAGCCGTTCTCAGAATTCTGTAATGCTTTCAAAATGACGAAGTAAGGGTCAGTTTTTTTCTGTTGTAGCTTATTGTTTATCAGTGATTTTACTACTTAATAAAGGTCTTTATGTTTGAGTAGTTATAAAGGCTCAAAGGGAACATCTACAAACAAAATGAGGACTTTCTTTAGTTTACTTCACATTTAAGATGTTGCTAATTTAACAAACAGTCCCAAAAAGTTGGAACAGGTAAATAAAAGTTTGGAAAAGTAAGTGGTACCAAAAAAAAACTGGAGGAACATTTTGCAACTAAGCATTTGATTGGAAACAAGTCTGTAACATGACTGGGTTTCTCAGATGTAAGATGGGTAGAAGTTCATCAGTCAGTGAGCAGTAATCCTGCTGATCTGAGACATTTCTCTTTAATCCAGCTGAAGTAGTTCTGTTTTTCTGCATTTCCCCCTGTAACATCTAGTCACATCACATCAGTTTTCTTCCATCTTTGTGTTTGCTGCTTTGTTGCCCTTGTAAACAAACCAGCTGGAACTGGAATGCAAACTCCACCAGTGCACATTTGTTTATTCTCTCTGTCTGTTTTCCAGGTCCCTTTCATACTTCTACAGGAAATGTATCAGCCCGCTATGAGACAGGCATCACTCCAGCTGGCTGGACCTTCTCCATCTGGGGTGTTATCTATACCTGGCTCACCCTGATGGTGATTTATATCACTTCATACACATGCAGAGGGTAAGCTAGCATCAAAACAGCTGGACTAAATCTAAACACACAGGATGAAACTGATATTTCTCTCTCTGTTAATAGATCCTGGGCTCAGTGTCTGCTGCCCTACGGCTTCCATATTTGCTGGCTCTCCAACATGGTGCTGAACATTATATGGCTCCTGCTGTGGGACGCAGAGTATGTCTTCATTTTATTTACTACTACCTGTTCTTATGCTTCTTTTAGCTGCTCCCTTTACGGGTCACCACATCGACCTCTTATCTCACCCTGTCGCCAGAGTCCCTAGATCCATATTCAATATCCTTTATCCAACATATCCATAATCCTTCTATAAATGTCCTTGTCTCTCTATATTTGTCTCCAAAGTGCCTGACTGCCTATTCACTCTTCACCCTCTACATAGCTGCCTTCACTTCCTCCCTACTAAATATGCATTCATGAATCACTAACTTTCCATCTGTTCTCTTCTCTCTCTCTTATTTTCTTCATTTATGCACTCCTCAGAGTACTTTTCCATCTTCTCACAACATTCACTGCACTCATTAGTACATTTCCATCTCTATTCTTAATCACCCTAGTCAGAGATTGAGCTGGAAAGGATGTGCAGCAGGTTACCGCTCAGAGTCTCCTGTGCTCTTGTCTTTGCTTCTCTTTCAATTTGTCTCTTGCACACACGGTATATCTGCTATAACCCGATTGATCTAGGATTTTTTTGTTAGGCAAATATCAATATTTTGTGATTTTTAAAAAGCCAATGAGTCCTTACCTTAATATGATGACAATACAGGTGTGATCTTGTGTTGTCGCTGCACTAAGTCATAGATTACTCATTTCCACACTGCCTGAGTCTGCTTGGAGCAGCTAGCTGTTGTGTTTGTGGCATTCCTAACAGGGAAGTTGCAGAGTGTGGTGAACAAACTCATAACACTCATAATGTAGTTGAACTTTTGTGTCTCTTGTCTCGCCTTTACTTTTAAGATGCTCATATATGCCATTACTGATTTATTGTTGGATGGCTAATATCAGCTGATACATTATCTGCTGTTTACAAGAGCTCCAGCCCATCCAGTATGAATATCTTATTCTACATATTTGATTTAGCACTGCATGTCTTTCCTAATGTACCTCAGCAGTTATCCATTTGTGGCTTTTGGCTCCACCCTGGCTGGGTTCTGCTTACTAGGAGTTTAATTTGTTTTTACTATTTTTCTGCAGCACAGTACAAAATTGAAAACTTCAAGACTGTTAAATTATACATGTGGTCGTATCAGAGACATAATAAGAAGGAATGGACCCTGGAGTTAAAGTTTAGTTAAAGAGAAAAAGGTTTAGCAAGAGCAGCACATGGTTTAAATTGTTCCACGAGCTTCATGAGGTCGTAAACTGGAGCTTTTTCAACATTCCTGAAGTAGTTCTCACATATGCTGAACACTTGTTTTTTCTCACTTGTGCGTCTCTCTGCACTCAAGTTCATCTGATACACTCTCATCACCCTGCTGGTGGGTTAGACCTCGCAGGTGTGTTTTGGCTCGTTGTGCTCTTGGAAAAACAAATGATGGTTCCAGACCAGGTGTGTCTGTGAAGACTGGAATAAATTCCACATGTGTTACTAGCAGAGCACGAGCACTTGTAGGACGAGCTGTTCATCCAGACTGAGTCATGCAAATAACTGGAACTCGTTTGAGCCAGAACTGAAGTTATATCTTTGATGATGGCTCCAAAACAGTGGTTCCTCTGTATCGGACTTTGTAACACTTGGCGACCAAACAAAAATTCAGACAGGACAATTTAGGATGATCATCCTATACTGTGAATACTAAAAAAACAATAGTCAGTGCAGTGCAGCATGAAATGATGTGCTGTTCCAGCCACCATGGAAAAGAAAACATAATAAATAGTTCTCATGTTTCGTAGTTCTCATGTGGCACAGCGGTACTTGCAGTAAACATACAGTACTGACAAAAGTCTTTTGCACAGTACACATGCATCTACCCCTTCAGTTGACTCATCCACTGTTTGCTGAAGCCTCATCAGAAATGGTCTCAGTGGAAAAGTGGCTGCCAAGAAGCCATTCTTATGAAAGGAAGAGAAGGATGACATATGCCAGATTTCACAAGAACTAGACTGAACTGGTCTGATGGAGTGGTGAATCCAAATCCAAACTTGTATCCAAGTTTTTGGTTCAGCTCATTATCAATATGTATGGAGGAGGACAGGAGAGAGGTATAACAATGAGTGTGTACAGCCACCTGTAATCTCTATTATGGTTTGGGGCTCCATTTAAGCCGGTGTTGCTGGGAATCTTTTCCAAATTGATGGAATTGTGAACGTAGAAATGTGTTCACAATGTGCAGATTTTGATCCATCAAGTAATACCATCCAAAAAAATCATGTCATTGGCAACGACTTGATTTTTCATCATGGAAAGAATCTGAAACACACTCCCAGTAGATTAAAAACATACCTGAACAGGAAAAACACACAGATTGGCCTGCCTAGAGCCTGGATGTCAACATTACTGAAGCAGTGTGGAATCATTTGGACAGAGAACAGAACAAAAGGCAGAAACATCCAAAAAGATTTAAGTGTCCTTAAACATGAAGATTAAAGATGGCCAATGGCCATAACAGGCATTGCCTTTAAGGCTCATTAGAAATGTACAGACTGTATGCATGCACGTTTCAATAAATCACCATACTTAGTGATAAAGATTTATTATGGATGTGCAAAGAATCATACTGATAGCTGTGCCAAAGTATGCTACAGTGGGGCAAAAAAGTATTTAGTCAGCCACCGATTGTGCAAGTTCCCCCAC